TAAAAACACTAAACACAGACAGAAATTATTTTTATACTACATTTATCCATTTTAAATATACTAACCTCACTCCTTTGTAACAACTAAGGCAAAAATGTAATTAATTCAGAAAATCTTTTCAGGACCCCACCTTGATGTTTCGGGACCTCACTTTGGCTCCCGACCCCATCTTTGGGAAACACTGCTCTAGAGCAGCAAACTGATAAAACTCTGCTTTTATAGACGTGCTCATACTGATTATAATCAGTTCATTGTGTCCACCTGATCAGCAGCTCCTGGCTGATGCTTTTCCTATGGAAGCATCAAGAGGGGTGGAATATATTGTGTGTTTTTGTACATTCGAGGTTAAGAACTAAACAACAGTTTTTACTACGTCCTGATATGAAAAACCCTAGAAGAGAGTGTTTTATCTTTAATCCATGACCACCCAAAAGACCAGAGCAGAAAAATGTTCAAATGGCAGCTTATGCAAAATAAACATCATATTAATTTAAACAACAAACTTCACCCATTTCTTCCAGCAAGTCACTGATCAACAAGGACTTACAAGTGTCTGTTGCATATCTAATGTGCTCCCCGTTGCAGGTACTGATGAAAAGCTGAACTTGGGAGAAGAGCGTCTCAAAGTCTGGGATGTTTGGCATGGAGAACTTTACAAATCTGAATCAAGAGAGAAGAAGATCAGTAAAAGTATTTTCATGGAGTTCTGTAAGATGAAACCAACTGAAWGCTTTATTTTTTAACAGCTCACTCCAACAACAAGGAACATGCACACATGGTAAAAAAAAAAAAGATGAATTTAGAGCTGGGTATTATACCTGTTCGTACCGAAAACTGTTTTTTATTTTTGTGATGATGTGAATTTTTCAAACACTGGCCTACAGATTTAAACCTGAAAACGTTTGGAGTATTACATCAGGCTTGACAGTAAACCGTTTCATGATGCTTTTCTGTGCAGCACCGTTGAACACGAATGCAGGAACTAGCAACACACAGGACAAACTARAGTCACTGTGGGAGCAACCTACTCAAAAACTGGCAGCAGGTGGTGATTTAGTCTCTGAAGGCCCTGTCASACTAGACAGCTTATGTCAACTTATAAAAATTTTAAAGACCTCTACGTTGAAGACGGGATTGAAAAAAATCAACAGGAAGCTTCTTTTCGGTGTGTACATAATGTTATTCTAACAAATTGATCAAATGTATAACTTTTATTAGCAATTTAGACAAAGAAAATGTTTCATAAGTTGGCATAAGTTGTCTAGTGTGACAGGGCCTTTACATTGGTTGTGAAAAAACAAACTTCCATTTTCACATCGCTGAATGTAGAATACACCTCTCAGCGTTTCCCCTACCATTATCCATACATTACCTTGACTTGACGTGCATAAGTTTGTTTGTCCTGATGCATCTCAGTAATCCAGGTAAAAAATCAAAAAGAAAAAATATTGTATAGGTCTTCTGGACGGGTTCTTCTCTAATGAATCGTTTCATCTCTTCTCCAAGAGACTTCTTCAGTCTTCAGAAACGTTTCATTAAAGAAGAACCCGTCCAGAAGACCTATACAATATTTTTTCTTTTTGATAAGTTTGTTTGTTTTTTTCGCGACAACTGTACCCGTCTCCCCTCACTGCTAACTAAATTTATAAAGCCATAATGTGTGACGAATGTCTACAGTGCGACACAGACAGACGTACAGTAAAAGACAAAAAGTCAAGATGTAGTTTCTGTGTTGCAGAAAAAGCGTAACTTCAGCTGACTGCAGTTTGTTGATCAATAGGCAGTGTTTGTACATTTTAACATCAGTTGAGTTGTGATATAAAAAAAGCCCAATAATATCGTAATACAAATAATTGTTAAAAATACTGATACAGAATTTTTGTCATACCRCCCAGCAGTAGATGAAACATAACATTTCTTTTCCAAAATATTAGATCAATTGTTTTCTGGAAGTGTGTATGTATACACATATCACTGGGTTGTGACTGTTGGTGAAGAATTGGGAACAGCATTTGTACACGAGTCTCTAAAATGTCTCAAAATGTTTGAAGGGGTTCTCAATATCCTTACAAGAGTCATATGGCCTTGTACTCTTTAACATGCTCAAAAGAAATTTGACAATTTTTTTTCTCAAAATAGTTGCAGAGTTGTTCCAGGCATCTCTGCTCTCTGGAATTTAGTTTCCGTAACTCTGTAGTATTTCTTTTGGGACTCACAAAWACCCGTGTAAACTTGTAACTTTATGATGTTCATGAAAAAAACAAATCTCCTATACACTAACTGTTCAGGAACAGTGCAGAGCTTTTGTCCAGGGAGCCGTTCACACCAGCACAGGCTGAGAGCCTGACACCGCTCAGGGCTTGCCTCTCTGTCTCATTGGATAAGGTGGAAAAAATATCAGTAGTGACATTTTATTATGGCCACTTAAAAATAATAGGTCTGTGATGCCCTTAGTATCACGTTAATTGTAGCATATATTTTGTTTATGTTCCAACTCCTGCAATCACGACATAATTACACATATGCCACAGACTCTCTGTGCAGGTTAAAGCAGAAGCTGCTTGCAGTAAAAGTACAACCCACATGCTTGTCTTTCTAGGCAAACATATGAATTATTATAAGAACTTAATGAACAGAAATGTGTTTTCAATTTCCTTCTGTCTTGAGATCCTGGATTATTCAGAAAACATCTAAACCAACCCTAAATGTCCAGGTCTACAAATCACTTAAAAGATGAAAAATATATTAAACATCTGCCTATATTCATTTCAAAAGTGTACCCCGGTAGATTAAAACAAAATCGCAGGGGTAGCTGCTGTGGTGAATGAATACAACGTGGGCCGATGGGGGTAAATGTAGGCAGAGGTGGGAAACAAATTAATGTGCATGGCCTACGATCCTGCTTTGTGAGCCATGCACACACAAACGCGGGTGCGCGGCTCACTGGTGCCAAACACACAGAATTTAGTGAGGCTGCAACTGAAAAATCACCAATTTCCTCCCAATTTAAACTCCCCAGCTGGTCTCCAACAGTCACAGCCCACTGAGATACTGGCTGTACAATTATCTGTACATGCAACTGACAGGAAAAAGAGCAACGAAAGCAAAGAAGTAAGTTAAAGTGTGTGTGTGTGTGTGTGGGGGG